TTTCTATTATTTATATTATTAATATTTAATTTATTGATATTATGAAGGATTAATTTATTATATTTAATTGTATTAATTTTATTATATTGATATATTACTTTATTATTATTATTGTTGTTATTATTATTGTTTGCGATTAAATTATGATTATTAAGTTGTAATTGAATTTGGATGGCGAGATGATCCGATGGGGATTCATCGATTGTCTTGCATCCGTTATTAATTGTATTAATATCGATTTTGGTCGTTAAGGTTGTTATAAATAGATCAATGGATGAGCTCATCCTTTGCCTGATTGTATGCCTTGTTGGCCGATCGGACGGAACAATTATAAGATCTGGATTATCTAGAATCCATTTATATAAGGTTCGACCGTTGGTGTTGATATGCATGGGATCTCTATCGGGTAGATTCCAGCTGGGATGTTTAGAATTTATATCACCGCCAATGATGATATTATCGGTATTTGGTATTTGCCTTAGTGTATCCATAAGTGTATTAAAATCATTAATATCAATTGGATCTCTTGGCCTATTATAAATGCTAGCTATTATTATATTTTGATTATTATTTTGATTATTATTCTTTTGATTATGGTTATTGTTTTGTTTATATTTGATTTTTATAGCTAAAACTTCTAAATGTTTTAGTGGTTTAATATTTATTATTTCATAATTTATATTTTTCCTTATACAAATGGCAACTGTTGATTTATATTTATTTTTATTTATATTGTTATTGTTATTGTTATTGTTATTATTTAAATTTGGTCGTATGGCATTTGTTGTTTGATATATTATATTATGGGTTTTTGAATTGATTATGATATTGGGATTTAAATGATGTTCGGCTATTGCAATTACATGTGGATTATGTTTGGCTAAGAAATTTACAAATTCGGTACGTTTACGAATTGTGTAAATACCGTTAACATTAAGGGCCATGATTTTTAATTTCATATTGACATATTATATATAAATTCAAGTAATAATTGTCCTTTGTCATTTGTCGTTAATTGTTTATTATTGTATTTAATTGTTAAATTGCGCATCAATGTGATGCACGAGTTTAAGTCTTTGCCGTATAATTCACGAATATCATCATTGATACGTTTGAAATTAACTGCAATTGTATTATTATTATTTATATTATTATGTTGTTGTTGTTGTTGATTATTATTTATATTATTTATATTATTATGTTGTTGTTGTTGTTGATTAATATTAATATTATTTTTGTTAGGTTTTGTTATTGTTAATGGTATTATTGATGATGGTGATTGTTACCGCCGTCATAGACTTAAGTTTAAATCGTTAATATTAGTGTTGAATAATGTTTAGAATAAGTTCTGAAAAATGCTAGACGGAAGCTTATCGATAGATGAAAAAATGGCGTAAGAACGAGGCGTTTGCGATCGCTAGGTGAAGTTAACGAGGCGAGGGAAAACGACGAAGTTTTTTAGCTCGCGCGCCCAGCATTTGATTTGAATAAAGGAAAGAACAACCAAATCGATGTTTGCTTAAAGAATCGTGCACCAACCTCGCCCCGACCTCAACATTTCTAAAAAACTTCCTCCAAAACTTCGTTACCTGCGGATTAAGGCAGAAAAACAGCGTCGCGTCGCTAGCAGACAACAGCTAGACCGACAGGTGGCGACAAATTTTGGAAGTAACGAAGGCGTCGCGTCCCTAGCAGCCAAGGCTAGGTCGAGTTGAGCACGCTATTCTTGGGGAGAACCAGAACTCTTGCGGATAAAGGCAGAGGTAAGGCGTCGCGTCCCTAGCAGCCACAGGCTAGGTCGAGTAAGCACGCAGCCAAGAAGAAGAAAAGCAGACGCCATATTGCAAGCACGCCGGACGACGCGAAGCATGAACGTTGAAGTGTGCAGAATTTGCGAGAATAAAAACGAAACGGCGTCAGAAAATTGGGTACAGTGCGACGTTTGCGGAAGGTGGTACCATTTCGAGTGTGCCGGCGTAGAGGACGACATTGAGAGCAAGGATTGGAGTTGCGATTACTGTCTTGCGGGTTGCAGCCACATAGCACCGTTCAGCGGTATGCAAAGATCACCAGTACAGTCTCAAACACGTGAAGACGCAATGGATACCCCAGAACCGCACAGCAAAGCGCTAGCCGTCGATACGTTAATCGATGCTGCCGGCAACGGAGAGAACATGAATGTTCGGGAAGGAAATCCGGACACGAACAAGAACCAACTCTTGTTAGATATGCTCGAGGAGAAAAGAAAGTCTGAGGCAAAGTTCATAGAAGAAAAATACAAAATTCTCATGCAGATGAACCCCGCTGACGTAGCGGTAGCTGGGATGTTTCGAGCCACAGATTCACCTACAAGTACTCAAATAGCGGCCCGGCAAGCTATACCCAAGGACCTTCCAACATTCAGCGGGGATCCTGAGGACTGGCCGTTATTTATCAGCACATTTGAACACAGTACGACAGCAGCGGGATATACGAATGTGGAAAACATGCTACGTCTGCAAAAGTCGCTTAAAGGGAAAGCTCGTGACTTGGTTAGAGATAAACTCCTACTTCCTAACCTAGTCCCAGAAGTCATCAGCACTTTGAAGATGTTCTTCGGCAGACCAGAGCACATCCTAGAAAGAATGGTGGAAAAGGTGCGAAGACTGGCATCACCCAAAGACAGATTGGAGGCGTTAATAGAGTACGCGCTGGCAGTGCGAAACGTCTGTGCCACTATGGAGGCGTGCGATCTGAAGGCGCATCTCAACAATCCAATGTTGGTCAAGGAGCTGGTAGATAAGCTTCCTAACCAACACAAGCTAAACTGGGCAATGCAACCCCGCGACGATAGAGTGGCCGCAGTTAAGGCATTCAGTGATTGGCTGTATAAAATCGCAGAGGCAGCGTCATTAGTGGTGGCGCCATCGTTTTACAAAACGGGCGCAGTTAATTCACACAACAGTCGCCGCCCGGACAAGGGACTGGCAGATGAGCCTGGACCAGCACGAGGACAAACACGATCGAACGCGATCCATACGGAAGCAGCTCAGCAGCAAGTTCAACAGAGGTGCGAAGCTTGCGGCGACCCGAGTCACAACCCAGCACAATGTCAGGTATTCTCGAACCTTGACGCGGAGCACAGGTGGCAGGTAATCAGAGCGGGTAAAGCCTGTTTCTGCTGCCTCAAGGTACACCGGAACAGATGCCGAACCGGGAACTGCGGAATTAATGGCTGTACAAGGAGACACCATGAGTTGCTTCATACAGAATATGTTTCCAACACAATCGGTCAAGACAGACCACAGAGTCACGTGAGTACGCATCGAGACGACAATCACGGAAGTCAGTTCTTTCGCATCATTCCAGTCAAGCTGCATTACGGCAGCAGGCAGACTGAGATCTACGCCTTTCTAGATGAAGGTTCATCCGTGACCTTAGCAGATGCATCCGTATTCCAAAGATTGGGAATACAAGGCCAGGCAGCGCCAATGTGTTTGCAGTGGACCGCAGAGACGACTCGACTCGAGAGTGGATCCGTAAAGGCATCCGTCCAAATCTCGGAAATGAACTGCGATAAGGTTTACTGGTTGAACAACGTCCAGACCGTTCAGAACCTAGCACTACCGAGACAGACAGTCAACATGAAGGAGCTATGCGACAGATTCCAGCATTTGAAAGACTTGCCGCTACGGTCCTACTCTCCCCAGCCGACTTTGCTAATCGGAACCAACAACTGGAAGCTAGCAGTTCCGCGCAAGATCCGCGAAGGAAAATGGAACGAGCCGATAGCATCGAAGTGCATGCTAGGATGGAGCATCCAAGGATCGGCGAACCCACAACGATCCATTTTCATGCACCACTGCGACTGCGACTGGCAAGAACTCCATGATGACATCAAGGAACATTTCAACCTGGACGCGCTCATACCACGAAAGCTATACTCAGCTGAAGATGAGCTGGCAGTGAAAATTTTGGAAAGCACCTGCCAAAAGAAGTCCGGAAAATATGAAGTTGGACTTCCGTGGCGCGGCGGTATCGACAAACTCCCTGAGAGCCGGAGTAACGCTCTGAAGCGGCTTACCTGCATGAGGAAAAAGGTCTCTCAAGAACCAGATCTGTACGAAAAGATTGACGTCCAAATCAGGAATCTCCTAGACAAAGGATACGCGGTTAAGCTATCCGAGGAAGAAACCAGCCGGGAGAACAGCCGTACATGGTATCTGCCGATATTCATAGCGCTGAATCCAAACAAGCCGAAAAAGATAAGGCTTGTATGGGATGCAGCCGCAAAGGCACACGGATACGCGCTAAATGACTACCTACTCAGGGGACCAGATTGCCTGAACCCACTCATAGACGTCTTGCTAGCCTTTCGGGTCAACAAAATAGCGATTTGCGGTGATATTGCGGAAATGTTTCACAGGATCAACATTCGCGAGGAGGATATGCAGGCGCAGCGATTTTTGTGGTATGACAAAGGCAGCGACAAAGTAGACACCTACGTCATGCGAGCTATGACTTTTGGGATAAGCTGCGCGCCGTTTATAGCGCACTTTGTTCGAGATAAGAACGCGGAAACCCACAAAGAAGAGTTCCCATTGGCCTTAAACGCCATCCAAAGGGCGCACTACGTTGACGACTTCATCGATAGCATGAGGAACGAGCAGGAGGCCATTCACCAGACAAGTCATAGAAGTACATCGCAGAGGCGGATTTGAGATCCGTAACTGGTCGTCGAATTCGGAAGAAGTACTCAAAAGCTTGCAGGATAATGGCAACGCTGAAACCCAAAAGCCGGTGGATTTTTGTGCAACAGAAAAGATACTTGGCATGTTCTGGGACCCACATAATGATATGTTCAAATTTATCTGCAGATTTTCAAGGCTGAAGCGTGATGTGCTGGCGGAAAACGCAGTCCCTACCAAGCGAGAAGTATTACAAGTTTTGATGTCGATCTTCGATCCATTGGGATTCTTATCATGCCAAACGATCGGACTAAAAATACTCCTCCAGTCCATATGGCGGCAAAAATTGAATGGGATCAGGAGCTACCTGAGAGAATTCTAGAAGAATGGCGCCAATGGAAAACCATTTTGCAAGACATAAGGAGTTTCGAGGTCCCTAGATGCTTTTCCACAGCCACATCGGAGCCATGTCAAATTGGACTCCATACATTCGTCGACGCCAGCGAGCAAGCATATTCTGCAGTCTGCTACTTGCGCGTGGCAACGGATGACAGAGTCGTCGTATCTTTGGTGATAGCGAAATCTAAGGTGGCACCTTTAAAACCACTTTCGATTCCGCGGATGGAGCTGCAGGCAGCAGTTATGGGAGCACGCTTAGCCCAAAAGGTGCTGAGCACACGCAACCTCCGAATTGACAACGCCACATACTGGTCGGACTCGAAGACAGTGCTGCAGTGGCTAACAATGGACCCCCGCAACTTTCATCAGTTTGTGATGCACAGAGTCGCCGAAATTCTGGTCGACTGGAATTCTGGAACAACACTGGTCGAGCAATGGCGGTGGATTCCTTCAAAGCTGAACGTAGCAGATGGAGCTACCAAGGTCACCGGGCAAACCCAACAAGAGACGTGGATAACGGGCCCGGAGTTCCTCAAGACCGATGCGAGCAACTGGCCAATATCCAAGAAGCAGGAGAGCATCATCGATACCTCGGAGATCCGGAAACATGTGATGACGACGCATACGAAATCAGTGGTTATGTTTAACGCGCACGATTTCTCAAATTGGCGGCGGTTATACAGAGCAGTGGAGCTAGTAATCCTGTTCATCGATCGGCTGCGGGCGAAATGTGCCGGACAAGATATGCCAACAACCACGACAACGGCTCATGTTAGTAAGGCAAAGATGCTGCTATATAAACAATCTCAAGCCATCGCCTTCGCCGCAGAAATGAAAACGTTATCCGCGGGACCGGCGCTCCTCAAGGGAAGCAGATTGGCCGGATTGAACGCGTACCTGGGCAACGATGGAGTACTACGAACTAGAGGCAGATTGAACGCGGTTGACATAGCTGAGGACGCCATCATACTAGCGGTCCCCAGACCACCCCAGATGGCACCGATCCCGAGGGCAAGAGTTGGAAGCTTCGAGAGGCCGTTCACCTATACAGGCGTCGACTATTTTGGCCCGTTGTTGGTGAACGTCGGCCGGCGCAAAGAGAAGAGATGGGTAGCTCTGTTCACCTGTCTTACGTTGCGCGCGGTGCATTTTGAGATCGCCTACAGTCTAGATACTAGTTCATGTATCATGTGCCTAGCCAATTTTATGGCCCTTCGAGGGACACCGAGGGAAATATTCTCAGACAACGGTACGAATTTCAGAGCCACGGAAAAAGCCGTGCGCGAGGAGCTGAAAAAGATCGAGCACGATAAGATCACTATTAAGTTCGACGGCATAAAGTGGCGATTCAACCCACCAGGAGCACCGCACATGGGTGGAGCATGGGAGAGACTCGTCAGGACAACGAAAGGAATCTTGAAGAACATTTGCCCAAGTTACTCTTTCAACGACGAGGGGTTGAGAAACGCACTGATGGAGGCGCAATTTATCATCAACTCGCGACCTCTCACGTTTGTAAGTTTGGATTCAGAGGATGACGCCGCCCTAACTCCAAACCACCTGCTGCTAGGATCAGCGAACGGATACAAGCCGCTGCCGAAAGAGGGAATGAATCTGAAGCGTAGATGGAACGAGACTCAGCGCTTCGGGGACCGCTTTTGGCAACGATGGGTTAAGGAGTATGCACCCGTATTAACCAGGCGCACCAAATGGTTTGAGAAGGTGCCTCCAATCACCATCGGGAGCATCGTCGTAGTCGTGGATGAGCTTCTTCCCAGGAACCTGTGGCTAAAAGGACGCGTGACTGACGCATTGATGGCCAACGATGGACAAGTTCGGCGGGTGACAATCAAGACGCAGCATGGCGCTATAGAAAGACCAGCAACAATGGTAGCAGTTCTGGACGTCGGCTTGGAGAATGGTAACTGACCACGGATCGGGATCAATTACGGGGGAGGGAATGTTACCGCCGTCATAGACTTAAGTTTAAATCGTTAATATTAGTGTTGAATAATGTTTAGAATAAGTTCTGAAAAATGCTAGACGGAAGCTTATCGATAGATGAAAAAATGGCGTAAGAACGAGGCGTTTGCGATCGCTAGGTGAAGCTAACGAGGCGAGGGAAAACGACGAAGTTTTTTAGCTCGCGCGCCCAGCATTTGATTTGAATAAAGGAAAGAACAACCAAATCGATGTTTGCTTAAAGAATCGTGCACCAACCTCGCCCCGACCTCAACAGTGATGATGATGATTGCTGTTGTTGCTGTTTAAATAATGATGCAAACGATATATTAGATTGTATATTTGCATAATGTTTAATGGTACGATTTATTTTGCTATTATTTATATTTTTAGCCTCTTTTAATTCTTTAGCTTTTTGCCTTTTCATGATTAGTTGTTGCCTTATTGGGCAAATTCTGGCATTGGCCGTATGATTACCTTTGCAATTGATACAGACTATCAATTGTTTGGTCAATTGCATTTGCTCAGCATTGTTGTTATCATTAGAATTTAAATTTAATTGAATTTTACATTCGCCAGGTAGATGCTTATCGGCACATTTAACACATCTGTATGCTATGTTGCAATTGGCGGCCACATGTGTAAAACGTTGGCATTTATGGCATTGTAGTATATCTTTGGGATTTGGTTTAAATTGTTCAATGCTGATGCGGCAATTGAGCAAACAATTGATATTTACAATTTGCTGGATATCAATTGTTTTGGCCACTTGAAGTTGCCATAAATTATTCTTATATTCAACCAATTTGGTAATATTTATATTGTTAATTTTTTGTTTTAAAGCCATCGTTATGTCATCTGCATTATAGATGTTAGATGGTAATTTTGTAATTATCAGATTATAGGGTTTGAGATGTTTTGGGGTAAATGTGAAATGTTTAATATTATTAGTTTTTAACATATTAATTATTAAATCAGAATCGTTAAATGTATTTGTTTGTATATTTATGATATTTTTATTAATCATATTTAGTAGGAAATTGTTATGTTTCAATTTGTTTGCTATTTGTGTATTGAGAATTTTTAAATTTTGATTATAGCTTACTATTATTGGTGGTTTAATATTTTTCCTATTTATATTTACAGCAGCTGTTGCTGTTGTTGGAGTTGTTGCTGTTTTTACTGTTTTAGCAGCTATGGCAGGTATTGTTGTTGTTGTAGATGAATTATTTTTCTTATTCTTAATATTATTATTATTAATGTTAGTGTTGAGATTAGTATTATTTTTAGATTTTTTATTATTATTCTTTTTATTTTGTTTAGATTTAGCAGATTTGGATGATGCTGCTGCTGCTGCTGCTGCTGCTGCTGTTGATGTTGATGGGCCCATTGCCAAATCAATTCCCCCATCATCATCAACATCAGCATCAGTTTTATCATTGTTGTCATCGTCGCCAATGCCAACGCCGAGTGCATTATTACTGCAGGAGCTATCATTTATATTTAAATCATCATCGGCAACGTCATCATCATCATCATCCTCAACAACATCCATCACCAAATCACGGTAATAATTATTGGTGATTGATTGATGACGATGATGATGCTGCTGCTGGTGCTGCTGTCGCTGTTGCTGTCGATGACGACCCAACGGCGACAACGACGATGACGATGGCGGTGGCGGCGATGGCGTTTTTATTTTTGATTTTTTTATTAACTGAGGAAAGTCCTCATCTGAATCATTTGATTTATTATGTATACGTTTCCTAATAATGGGCATGTTGGATGTTATAATTGATTTATGTATATTATCATTATTGATATTATCATTATTATCATTTTCATTTAATTGGCTTTTCAATATTGTATTTTCAGTTCTCAATTGGTGCAGCTCATCGAGCAAGCCACCCAATTGATCTACATCCAATATGGGCAAATCCCAGAAACAGTCCACCAGCGACCAATTTTTAAATTTCACATTTTGTAGTTTTTTTTTATATGGAACATTCAATTAGATATTGAATTTTAAGAATTTAAAGCAAAAAAGAAATTTTGGTCATTATAAATGCACAAATTTTTATCAAACCCAACCCAACCACTTTGTGTGCACTTTTATGACAAAAGTTGACATTTTTCAAATTTCGGAATTTGACATTAATGTTAACACAATGAATTGGAGGAATAGTAGTCTTATTACTTAACTTATGTTCTTTAATTTTAGTGAAAAAAAAAATATTATTTTTCTTTTATAGAAATTTTAATTTTAATTTGAAAGTAGTGCCCTAGCGCTGTAGCGTGCGACACGAAAATAACGTTTTTTTTATATAGCTAGTGTAAAATTTTTTTTTTTTTGATTTAACTTAATTTTTAAATCATAATTATATTGTGCTTTTAAAAACATAAAAAATTAAAATTATGTATTTACATGAATATATTTTTTTTGGCACATTTATGCTTGTAGCGTGCGACACTTTTTCAATTCTATCCAAAAACCGTTTTTTTTTTTTTATCACACTTTGCCTGCTTATTAACGTACTGTTAAGAAGAGCATCAGATTTGCAGATTAAAAACATAAATGAGAGCATAATAATACATTTCCGGAAAGAATTTAATTTTTCCCACCTTGAATGGAATTTCTTTGCAACCTCTCACGGAAAAGGCGCTGTTGACGGAATTGGGGCTATTTTAAAGAGAAAAGTTTGGCAAATGGTCTAATGTAAGAATCTCATTTTAAACAATGCCTATGAATTTTTTAAATTGGCCAGGAAAAATATACCTAGCATTTACATTTTGTATGTAAGTAACACTTACATTCGAAATACTACAAGTTCGCTGCTGGAGAGATGGGATCACGTATCGAGCATACCGGGAATAAAAAGCAATTATTATTTTGCATCATATGAGGAGAATGCATTGTTAATGGCGTTTACGGCAGTCTCCAAAATTAAGAAAATTAATTTATAAACATTAACAATTTTTATTTATTGTAAATAAAAATTCTTAATAAATACATAATATAATAATTAAAATAATTGTTAAGCACATTTATGAATATAATTTAAAATGTTTTGTTTAAATAAAAAGATTTTTGTCTTATGTTAATGCCATTGGAAAAAGTGTAGCGTGCGACACGTAGCGTGCGACACAATGAGTTTACGGCTTTGCTAAAAATCTGTAAACATTATTAAAACCAAACGATCGGTTTTTGTTTTCTAATATTCTTAACTTTCTTTAGGATATTAATTTTCATAGGGTTTATTTTGGATAATTCGCTAAAAATTGCGTTTGAAATAAAAATTTTGAAACTAACTTCCACTTTGTGTAGCGTGCGACACGTCACAATTTTATTAATTATTTTCAAAACTGTGACTCCAGTGAAATTAAACCTTATACCCTCTGAAAGTACTCTCAATTCACTCTAAACACATAACAAAAGTTTACGGTAAATCTTTAAAAAACCCCCCAAAAAATTGATTTTCATTAGCTAAAATCGTACGAATGTAGCTTGCGACACGTGGGATTAGCCCATATGTCCATTAATTGGGCAGCCATATCATTGGTTTCTGTATTATGAACTGATTTTTGTTTTTGTTTTTGCTTCTTCTTAATATTATTATTATCATATTCATTTGTTTCCGAATCGGAAACTGAAGAGTTTGGTGAAAATATGCTTTTTATGCTATCTCTTTTATTGCTATTAATATTAGTATTGTTATTGTTATTTTTAATATTAATCTTGTCATTTGGATTAGTATCATTTTGTGTTGCATCATTTTGTTGCTGCTGCTGTCGTTGACGCAGCTGCTGCTGCTGCTGCTGCTGTTGTTGCAGCTGCTGCTGCTGGTGTTGTTGTTGATGTTGCATTTGTGATATGATATGTTGTTGGGGATGATTTGGTTCATTCATATAAATGAATGATGGTTGGTGTTGGGGATGAGATAATATAAGCTGATTAGCTTGTTGTTGTTGTTGTTGCTGTTGCTGTTGCTGGAGTTGCAACAATTGTAAATGTTGTTGATTTGTTATTGTTGCTGTTGCTGTTGTTAATGGTGCCAATGGTGGTGGTGGCGGGGGTGGTGGTGGCATCGGCATCGACAGCGGCAGCGGTTGCTGTTGCTGTTGCTGTTGATTTTGATGATGTTGCCACCAAATTTGTTGTTGTTGCTGCTGTTGTTGCTGTTGCAACAATTGTGGCTGTTCTTGTTGATTTTGTTGATAATAACACCATTGTTGTCGATGTTGTTGTTGCTGTTGATCTAGTTGCTGTTTTTTATATTGTATATATTGTTGCTGCCATTGCTGTGGCGGCGGTGATGGTGACAATGTTAATAATTGTTCCAATGATGGTGATGTCGATATTGACAATGACGGTGACGGCGACTGTGACGGTGACGGTGACGGTGGCTGTGAACGTGATAATGGCATGGATGGTGGTGCCATTAACGTTGTCATTGCCGATGACGTCGTTGTCGTTGTCGTTGTCGTAGCCGTTGTCGTCGTCGTTGCCATTATTGTTGATGATGTTGTTATTAATTCTGATGTTGGTATATTTGATGATGCAGATGTTGTGGTCAATAAAAATAATTGATTTTGTTGATTTTGTTGTTCATCATGTTGTTGTATTATGAGATATTGATATTGAATTGGATTATTTACAATATCAATTGGTGTTTGTTGTTGTAATAATAATGGTGTTGATGTTGATGGATTAACATAATTTTTTTGCACTTTTTATTGTTTCAATATTGTTGTTTTTATTATTTTAAATTTTTGGTCTATTTTGGGTCTTTTTTCCACTGTTGATTTTATTGTATTGTTACTTTTTCACTACTTTTTAATTTTTTCCACTTTTTCACTATTTTTTTAACTTTTTCACCACTTTAGAGTTTTTAGGGGGTCGGATCGTCCAACTGTGACCAATTGTCAGGATCAAGTGACGACGACCACCCAAAAAGTAGTGTTGGGTT